CTGACTACATAAAGTAGCACATGCAAATTCCCAAAATCTAATACAATAAGCTACTTTATCAAAACTTTGGTCTACTACGTATATACACTTTGTCTTTTACTAATAAGCATTAATTGACCAAACAATTAATGGGATTGTTCTCATCTCAATCCTATACCTCGGTTAGATCAACACCGTTCACCTAATTCTCCATTCTATTACATTACCTAATCGCCACGTTTCCACCATTTCATATACTTCACTGCGAAATTCTAGATTTATAGGTCATCCTCATCCCATTTCCTCCTTACCTTGACAAGTAAACTGAATTAAATACAAGAAATCCAAAACGCATTTCCATCCAAACGCTAAAATTATATTATTTTATAGTCAACAACACAAACCTAACAGATTTCCCATGATGCAACTCCTTATAGAAGACACATGTTCACACACATACACACGTTACTTCATACGCTCTTTTTTATATATAGAGACTATACAGAGACTGGAGAGGAAGAGATACAGAGAACGAAGAGCAACAATAAATTCATCATGCAAAGATTGTGTTCATAATATTGTAAAAGGCAAATCTTTTCTCACTTTTACTCTCACTTCTTCACCATGTCTCGCATTGTAGCAGAAGATAACGCCGGTGACGATGCGTCGCCGTATCATTCCATGGAGATTAGCTCGACTTTGACTTTAGGTCAACTTCTCAAGAACGTTAGCGACGTCAGAAAGCTACAAGTCGGCGACGAGACTCCTGTTCGTGAATTCTCTGACCGAGGCGGTTCAGTAGTTGATGAAGACTATGGTCTCATGCGTCCTGTTCCCTTCGTTCTATCTTTCAACAACCTCACTTACAACGTCTCTGTTCGCCGGAAGTTTGAGTTTCGCGATCTGATTCCACGGAGGAGGCTATCTTTCTCCAAGAACAAGACCCTTCTTGACGATATCTCCGGCGAGACTCGCGACGGAGAGATTCTTGCCGTTCTTGGAGCTAGCGGGTCGGGTAAATCCACTTTGATCGACGCTTTGGCGAATCGTATCGCTAAAGGAAGCTTGAAAGGCACTGTGACGCTTAACGGAGAGGCTCTTCAATCTCGGATGCTCAAGGTTATATCGGCGTATGTAATGCAAGACGATCTCCTCTTCCCGATGCTTACTGTGGAAGAAACACTAATGTTCGCTGCTGAGTTTCGATTACCAAGAAGCTTGCCTAAATCCAAGAAGAAGCTCCGAGTTCAAGCCTTGATTGACCAGTTAGGGATAAGGAACGCGGCTAAAACAATCATCGGAGACGAAGGACACCGTGGAATCTCCGGTGGAGAAAGACGGCGAGTTTCGATCGGAATCGATATCATCCATGACCCGATTGTTCTCTTCCTCGACGAACCGACTTCCGGTTTGGATTCCACAAGCGCCTTCATGGTGGTTAAAGTGTTGAAGAGGATCGCAGAGAGTGGGAGTATCGTGATGATGTCTATACATCAGCCTAGCCACAGAGTTCTCGGTTTGCTTGACCGTCTCATCTTCTTGTCACGTGGTCACACCGTCTACAGCGGATCTCCGGCGAGTTTGCCTAGCTTCTTCGCCGGATTCGGCAATCCGATACCGGAAAACGAGAATCAAACGGAGTTCGCACTCGATCTCATCAGAGAGCTCGAAGGATCAGCCGGAGGAACCAGAGGATTGGTGGAATTCAACAAGAGATGGCAAGAGATGAAAAAACAGAGCAATCCTCAACAAACCCTAACCCCGCCGGCTTCTCCGTACCCAAATCTAACCCTCAAAGAAGCGATTTCCGCAAGTATAAGCAGAGGGAAGCTAGTCTCCGGTGGCGGCGCTGGATCCTCCGCCGTAAACCACGGCACCGGAACCACAACCCTAGCCGTCCCTGCCTTCGCGAATCCGTTCTGGATCGAGATCAAAACTCTCTCCAAACGCTCAATCCTAAACTCCCGACGTCAACCGGAGCTATTCGGAATCCGATTAGCCTCCGTAATCGTCACCGGATTCATACTAGCCACCGTTTTCTGGCGATTAGATAATTCCCCGAAAGGAGTTCAAGAGCGGCTAGGTTTCTTCGCGTACGCAATGTCGACAATGTTCTACACTTGCGCAGAAGCTCTCCCCGTCTTCCTCCAGGAGCGATACATCTTCATGAGAGAAACTGCTTACAACGCTTACCGGAGATCCTCGTACGTTATCTCTCACTCCATCGTCTCCTTGCCGTCGCTCATCTTCCTCTCTGTAGCTTTCGCAGCGACGACGTTTTGGGCTGTTGGGCTCGAAGGAGGTCCAATGGGCTTTCTATTTTATTGTCTAATCATCTTAGCCTCTTTCTGGTCCGGAAGCTCCTTCGTGACTTTCATATCCGGCGTCGTTCCGCACGTGATGTTGGGTTACACGGTCGTTGTGGCCATTTTAGCTTACTTCTTGCTTTTCAGTGGCTTCTTCATCAACAGAGACAGAATCCCTCACTACTGGATCTGGTTTCATTACCTTTCACTGGTTAAGTATCCGTACGAAGCGGTTCTTCTGAACGAGTTCTCGGATCCTATGGAGTGTTTTGTGAGAGGGGTTCAGATTTTCGACAACACGCCTTTGGGAGAATTGACGTATGGCATGAAACTGAAGCTTTTGGATTCTGTGAGTCGATCTATTGGGATGAGGATAACGAGCTCTACGTGTCTTACGACTGGTGCTGATATCCTGAAGAAGCAAGGAGTGACGGAGCTTAGCAAATGGGATTGCTTGCTTGTTACGGTAGGTTTTGGGTTCTTGTTTAGGGCTTTGTTCTACTTGTGTTTGTTGCTTGGGAGCAAGAATAAGAGGAGGTGATAATGTAAACGGCTGATGATAGTTAAACCAAAAAAGCATATATTTTGTTTTGTTTTGTTTTTCTGATTTTTTTGTTTTGTTTCAATACTGTAATTCGTTGATTTATCGTGTCTTTGAATTGTATTCTATCTTAACATGTTGTTACTTTTGCAATGATAATATCTGTGAAGCTGATGTTTGTATTTACAGAAATCACCTATGAATTGTAATTACAGAAATCACCTATGAATTGTATATCTGTCAAAGAGACCCATTGAGATTGGTTTGGAAGCTGATGTTTTTTTTATATATATATATATAAAGGTGATAATGTTGAGAGTCTATACAGTATACACTATCTCCAAAAGTTTATACCCAAAATCCAAACAAACAAGCCAGAATCTGTGTTACAATTAACAAGTCTTTTGTACTCCCAATACTTTTTAGTAAACCTAATTTACCCATAATTGCCATTCACTTTCTCTAATAAATAAACACTGTGTGACCTTTGTCATTACGCGAAAAGAGAAACTATACAAGTAGTTTAAAACTTTAAATATTTTTCTCTTCCGAGATTTTAGTTTTAAATGTTTCTACTGCTTTAGTGCTTTACGTATGAAACTGGAATTAATTTATGAATTAGTTTTTTTTGTCGTAATTTTTAAATTAGTTTACTATTATGTGGAAAGGCAAAGATAAGGAATCTTCTATTTTATTTATGTGGGATCGAAAGTAATTGCCTTGTTATATATTAATATTCTATATGCTAAAAGAAACGAGTTACGAACATGATTACGTCACGGACGATATAAGCCAATTACCCAAACATAGATTTGAACAGGCCTGAATTCCAAATACACATAGGAGTACAGGACACATGTATGTATATGTCTAATATATACACGTGTTAATTCATCTAGTTCATAGCACTTGTTTCTTTAATTAATTAGTTCATCTAGATCAAGCAAGATCAAAGCTTCTCCTATGTTACTTCATCTAGATCATAGCAAGATCACAGTTTAATTAATTCATCTAGATCATAGCAAGATCATATTTCTTTAATTGATTCATCTAGATCATAGCAACTATGTTCTTTGTATTAATCTCGTTCATAAAGAAATTAGAGAAAGTATTTTATTTGATATTTTAGGCATAAGAAATGTAATCAAATTAGATACTTTCATTATTATTTTTTTGTTGGATCAAAGCTTTTTGTTTAACGGTTAATAAGATCATATGTCAATTCCATGTCCTAACTAAGATATAGAAGGAAATATTCTATATCTAGATTATAGCTAGCCATGCAGAACGCATGTGAAAGTGCATTGCGGATGATATTCACTCTCTGCATCGCCGTGGGACTGTCAACCACAACCCCGGCCCTGTGTTAGTGTAAAGTTTTTGATATTTTTAGTCTAATGTTTAATATAATGGTATTTATATCTTGACCAACATCAGAGGCGGACCCACGTTAAGCTGTAAGGTATCATATGACACATATTAAATTTATAAACCCTTAATTTTGTTAAGGGAAATTAAAAATTCTGTGGCTCATTTGGTACACAAAACATCTGTTTGACACTCCTTATCTGAGATTGAAGCTTGAGACAACAACTTTTTTTTTATTTTTACACCCCTTAAAATTAAATCATGGGTCCGCCACTGATCAAAAGATCATCGATATAAACAAATAGCTGGAAATAATTAGGTAGATGTTCTATTACTAATGTGAAAAATATCAACATATTTTTTCACATAACTTTCCTTATATTTTGCTCATTTTTTGCTTATATTTTGCTTTAATTTTTCTTTATATATACTTTATGTATGTTTATATTTTTCTTAATATTTTTCTAATATCAAAAGATGTTAAGTTATTGGTTTAAATCATATGGATATAGTTATTAATCTTTAACATGCAACATCAGTTTCAACGAATTCATAGGAAAAAATTCCCAAAAAAATTGTATTTAAAAATATATTTTTTTTTTGGTTTTTTCTTCTTAATGAGATGTTTTCCAGATTTTTTATACTTTTTCAAAAAATACAAAGCAAAATTTGATTTTACGAAGGCTACAATTTTTCTTTTGAGTTAGTTAATTTAGGTTAACCAATCCGGTTAATCAACCTGAACCGAACCGTTACTGTACTATATCTAGATCAGAAAAATAAACCATGAGTGGACCGAACCACAACCGGACTGTCTGTAGAAGTGTAAACGGCAAACGCAACCTCTGGCTGCAGTGGAGACGAGTCAAAATACGAGCGGTGGTTTCTCACGGTGAAGCTGTTTGGCCGGAGATGCTATTGTGCATTCCGACGGTGAAGCTTTTTGGGTTTCAGCAACGGCGCACTATTCGCTCTTTAGCCAAACGTTTTAACTTCAACGGACAATCACCTACAGAGTCCCAAGCTCAGGTTTTTGTTTTCTTGTTTGCATTTTTTTTTTTTGTGGAGAATTAAGACTTCCGACAAGGAAATTCAATTTCTTAGTCGAGTTTGTAATTGGTTAAGGTAAAACTAAAAATATCCTCTAGTATAGCAATTGAGACTAAAGATGAAGCCTTTATTTCCTCTAGTACAGCAATTGAGATTAAAGATGAAGCCTTCATTTCCTCTAGTATAGCAATTGAGACCAAATATGTCCTCTTTGCTTCTTCTCTCAACCGAAAGTTAAAGTGTTGAGTTCTTCAGATGATAATTGATGTATGAAGATGTTATTCAGAACTTTTATTTTTGGCTCTTTGAAAAGAATTTTTTTTTTACCATCTTTATCCAATTTGTATTTAGGCCTCTTTGGATAAGGAGTGCATTGACTTCTTACCCTGGTTAGAAAAAATTGCTGGATCCAAGATAACTAACACCCTTTCGATTGGGAAATCAGTCCATGGCAGGTTGGTAATTTTTTTAATAAGATGCAAGTGTTTCTACAGTACATTTTTGAGTAGTCATGTTTAGACCCATTTGTTCTCTTCCATATATCTTTCACTCGTCTTGATTTGCCAGCGATTGTTGAAACATTTGAGAAAGTTTGAATCATCCAGTTGCGAGTAGTTTGCTTGTATATGATCCCAACATTTTGTTGCTTGGAACTTTTTCGATTTCATTTGCTACCAAAGCCTGTCTCTTTGAGTGATGATGGTTTGTCTATATAGCAATGAGTCTTCTATATATTGCCAAATACACTAACCAATTTATCATATCGACCTCTGAGCAGGGCGTTGTTTGCCTCAAAAGTAATCCATGCCGGTGACTGCATCCTGAAAGTCCCTTTCAATGCGGTATATTATTTAAAATTAGTTTTTTTCTTTGTGGCGTGGTCTAAAAATATTTGAAGATCGATACATGTCATATATTGTTTGTTTTTTTTAACTGAATTTATTCAGCAAATAACTCCGGATGAGCTGCCTCCAGATATTAGAGTCTCATTGACCGATGAAGTTGGAAACATTGGAAAGCTTGCTGCTCTTCTTATGATCGAGAAGAAAACGGGTCAAGTAAGCTGACATCAACATTTTGTGTTAATGTATCTTAATATAAGTCTCCCTTTGTATGTATGTGAGTGTTTTGGTTTCGACTTGAGTCTATAATTGTTTCTGAATACAGAACTCTCGATGGGTCCCTTATATCAGCCGACTTCCTCAGCCTACAGAGATGCACAGCACGGTGAGATTTCTCCCCTTATAGCTAACAAAATTATGAGTCTTGATTTGTTAATCTTGGTCACGTCTTGAATGTCAAATGTGCATTTCTTCCAAAGCAATATATAAATGCACACCACGGTGGGATTTCACTAGTCGATTTCGCACTAGTCCTTATTGTGGTCCAGAGTTCTGACTCTTGATTTTTTTTTTTTTTGTTTCGAATGTAAAACGTGTTTCGTTTTTTGTCCTAAGCAGATACAAAATGTTCAAATAATTATAGTTTATGATACAATCTAAGTAACCTGGTCTGCAAAAGCTTCTTATTTTCCACCTACTCCTCCCTTTTTCTACCTTTTTCAATCCAAGTCTCACTGTCCATTTCTTTGTCCATGCGTTTTTTTGTGGACAATGTAGTCTATTTACAATAATGTTTTCTTTATTTTCTCTAGATATTTTGGGATGAACATGAGCTCAACATGATTCGTTGTAGCGCAGTTCACAAGGAGACTGTAAAACAAAAAGTTTGGATAGAAAAGGAATTCTCACTTGTAGCACAAGTAAGTGTGTTTCCTTTAGTGATCCTGATAAGTGCTGGTTTCTGGTGGCAAATTCGATTTTCTCTGCATTTTTCAATCTTTCGAACTTTTTCTTATGCTTCTATATATATAGAGAGAGAGGTTCTGCTTTTGTACTCCTTTATTTATATAATACTCTGTCTACGTTATTTATTCCCTGGATTAGTAAATTATCTTCCTTTTGGTAATGAATATTTTTTTTTTGGGTTCCTGATTGTTCCTCTTAAAACGCCTAAAAGAGATTGTTTATGTACCATTCAGACAATGTATGAAACCATGAGAAAGGAAAGGCACATCCATATAGACCATATAGTTGTGAAACTATTATGTTTTCTGTATTTGGCCTCATAGTGGTTTATCAGACCATTAGATTAAAGAACCAAGTTCGGGTTTGTCAAGGTGCTATATGGCCTGAGTATATATATGTTGCTGAGAAATAGCAAATTTTAGACTCACTTGTATTGATTTTGGTGACTAATTTCTGCAAGTTTAAACTCCAACTCATCACGTGTCTTCGCAAAATGCATCAACCGAGTACGTAGTATACATATGTATATATTTGATAGAGAATAAAAGATGTATTTGCATGTGTAGATTTGTTTTCCTCATCCTAGTGAAGAAGAGTTCTAAATTTATTTTGGTGATTTAGGCATTTACGCAACATCTTCCCAATGTGATTGAAGGCCCAGCTCTGGAAAATTTCATGTATGCCTATGCTTTAGGTGAGAAAATGACTCTACAAATGAAATATTTTTTTAGTTTTTACTCAACCGTGCACAGACCTTTCTAATTACTGTATGTGTTAATACTTTAGTTATTGAGAATAATCTGGTTCTTTTTGGTTTTTACCTAATTTGGAAAACTTGTTGCTGGACAGTGGGATCTCGTGCGTGGGAAACCTCAAAAGGCATATCTCTGGTATTGCATTCAGTACAGTTCTGTGTTTTTGCTTCTGTTTACTTATGTTGATTTCTGGTATACATAGATGTTCTGACCGTCTAACAGATTCCGTTTGCAGACTTCATGAACCATAATGGGCTTTCTGCATCAATCGTTTTGAGCGATGAAGACAAGCAACTATCAGAGGTTTTACTTCCATTCCTGTTATCTAATATTTTTGTATATCGATCTAGTAAGATGCATGGTTCTTGATTCCCTGTTACTTTCTTTTGACTCTAAATGCTTGCAACACCGACTGAAACAAACCAGTACATTGATTTTGAAGTTTCCAACTTTGCAGGTAACTGCAGATCGTAACTACAATCTTGGTGATGAGGTAAGGATTGTAACACAATGAGATTCGCTTCTCATGGGATGCATTACTCTTTCGTTTTATTTCTTTTGATAGCCACTAGTGTCTCGAAGAATGTTATTTTGGTCGAGGTCGAGGCCAGCCAGTGGTTAAAAACTAATGGTCTTTGAAGCTTACCAACATCTCTTTTGTAGGTGCTCATTAGGTATGGAGAGTTCTCAAATGCTACACTCATGTTGGATTTTGGATTTACGCTTCCATACAACATTCATGACGAGGTTTGTTTTCTCTATCATGACCGTAGCCGTAACAACATTGATTTATAGATGGCCACTCAACAATCTTTACCTTGATGGTCACTTGATTGACTAGGTTCAAATCCACATGGATGTACCTAATGATGACCCTCTCCGCCACATGAAGCTGGGACTTCTCCAGTCCCATTACACACGAAGTGTCAAAGATATCAGTATCTTTCACTCTTCTTGTGATACTTTCACAATCAAGTAGGTATTATTGTTTCGTTTTAGAATGTCACTACGCCATTACAATTTCTAATTTTTTTACTCACTCTTAGTACTTGTATACGAAGAATGGAAACATCGGAGAAAGGTGTACTAAGTAAGTAGTTAAGAGTGAAGTGAACTGTGAACAGAGGATAGGAAAACACCAAGAAACATTACTTCTTTATTATTGGTTTCAGTAACAGAGTTTTTGCAGATGTGTGTCTAAGTCTAGTTTTGGGATCTCTCAGGGAAGTGAAATCTTCTAAAGGGAAAGGGAAAGGACTTCCGCAGTCTCTCCGAGCATTTGCACGTCTTCTTTGCTGTACCTCTTCTCAAGGTGCTCAAATAAAACTAGTTACTCTCTTTCACCATCTTTCGAGGCTGGTCCCAAAAGTATTAAGAGTCTAATGATTCTCAGAGCTCAATGATTTGTCAAAAGAAGCTGAACAAAATGATGGCCGACTTGCTCGGCTCCCCTTCAAAGATGAGAGAAGAGAGTTTGAGGCACATAAGGTCATCTTGTCTCATATCAACAGATTAATTGAGGATCATAGTGCTTGCATTAAGGTACCTTAGAAGGCTTGGCTCAAGCTAATTGTCACATACTGACTGATAATGTAGGTTTTGACAAAGGGTTATTTGGGGCCTTCGCAGGAAATGGAAGAATCTAAATGCTATTTTGTATCACAAAGATTTGCTGTTCGAAGGCAGATGGCAAGAGATCTCCTCTTCGGTGAGCTTCGTGTTCTAAAATCTGCAGCTGAATGGCTCAATTACTATTGCACAACCTTGTATTCAGCACCTTAAATGAGCCTTAAGTGCCTAGGGAGCTGATTTTATAATCTCTACAATAGCAATCATACCAAGGAATTGAGATACTGGTGTGAATAAGTACTCGAGTTTTAGTCTCCTCCTAAGTCCGGATGTGGCACACATGACCAAAGCCAGCAATCAATAGGAAAAACAGAGAGATGAGGAACATGTTGTATCAGAATGGTAATTAGTGATTGTGGATAATGATTGTGAAATGGTGGGTGACAATAAAATTTTACTTTTAACTCATAGTTTCCACTCTAACTTTTTCCTTTTCTTGTCGATTTAGTTGGTTAATTATGCTCGGTCCCAACTCAATCGGTTGATTCATACAGAATCTGCTACTTGGTAATACGATGGAAGTATAATAGCAGAAAAAAACTTGGCTAACCATCAGAAGATTCAGAAAAAAAAAAAAAGCAGCCAAACATGCTTCCACTAAAATTCATGCTGACTAGAAAATTGTTATGAGGAAATAGCTTGATATACAAAGGAAAGAACTGTTTCTACAAAAGTGATGCAAAGTTTATCTGTAAGAGCATATTCACAGAGACTAGCAATAGAGAAACTTGGGAATTTCAGTTCCTTTGGTCTGAATACTGACCTCACCTTTGGTTGTCATCTGTTGATAATGGCACCAAAGTGAGGATTATGAGCATCTGCATTCATGATACATATGCTTTAACTAAGTCTGTGTAGTTGCAGACAAACCCTGTCCTTGGACATGTTATGTTCCCTCCGTTCTTTTCTGCCATTTCCTTGAGAGCCTGCAAAATAAATTACCCATCAATGCAAAGAAAAAGTTAGTAACCCCAACTATTACATTTTTTGAACTGTTATAATAGACTAATGTCACTGATCTAGCCTCAAAAAAGATTCCAAAAAGAGAGAATGAACAGAATCTACAGAAAAGTAGAAGCTGTACAAGAACAGAATCAAACCTTGGTGCTGTAGACGTAACCATTGGGCAACACCTGTGGTGGGTTATCTGTGTCCATTGGCTCCTTAGATATATAGCAAACAAGCTTTGAATGGTCCTGCTTGGAGTACGGTAAAGGCCGAGCTAGCTTCCGGAAGCTCTCTTGTGAGAGCGGGTCCTCCTTGGTACAACCCTCTTCAAAACCATATCTGGATCATGTCAAGGTACAACACTCAAACCACAATAAAAAATCACATTATGGTGTCACTTTGAAATATTACTTTCTTCCCTATTTATTTCAGATGCAGAAAATAGACATCAAATTTTATAGAGTTTGATGGATACGGAGTTTTCAATGCAGACAAGCCTGCTTGTAAGTAGATGTTCAATAACGGCTCCATTGTCATGCCATATAACTTGCAAAATTCTTGTTTAAACTGATGAACTAAAACATCCCACTGCCGTATCTCAAACAAGATCTGAAAAAGAAAAAACAAATCCATTAGTTGATTAGCCTAAGCAACACATTTGACAATCAATTCAGATTCAGCATGAGTTAAATGTAACACAATATTTTTATAAAAAAAATTACTGAAGGATTACTGAAGCAAAATGGTGTAAAAAGACTCAACTGAAATCTCTAGCCAGGTTTTGGTCAACAAAATCAAAATTTCAGTAATTCCACACAGAAAAGATACTACTAGTTGAAGCACATATTTATCGTTGAAGAGCCAAAGATTGGCTTTTGAAAGACTGGGTTGCAGTTATATAATCAAAAAAAGGAAAATCTTACCTTATATTTGGTGCATTCCGTAGTACTTTTAAAAGCCAAAGTGGCCACAACATGCTGCAATTCGTTCATATGGGTCGCTCCCCACGGTGCCAGATGCTTTCGAGCATAAAGGATTGCTTGTTTGTAGCTCTCAGCTGTGTCAGCTCGTACCAACTCGATGAATTCTTGCAGCCTTAGTTGGAACTCAAATTTGCTCTGTCATGAAAAGAACACAATATAATTAGCTGTGACAATTTTCACTGAGCGACCCATGAGATGCAGACATAAGCCTTTATAACCAGATTGTGAATTGCCTCTAGCAATCGTCTGGCCTAGGTAAATAGCTAGTATTTCTTATGATCAGGATTTCGTTATTGTGGAGAATGGATGAACTTTAGACAAACACAAGTAACCGCGTGGAGTTCACAAAAAAAAGTAAAATATTAACCATGAAAGTACCCAGAGAATGAGCACCACATACCTTAGACTTTTTCAACCGTGTTTTATTCTCAGCACACCATGCCAGTGCAGAAGCTACGTCCCTGTTTTTAAGGGCGTCAATCACCTTCTTAGCTTCTCGAAATATGTCAATGTCGACAAGGTCCTGAAAAGATGAGTTGAAACCGATAATTCATCACTGCCGGTAAAAAAGCGCAGACGCAGATATATAGCATGATCATGCCGCAAGGAATAACAAATGGTTAAAGGTCTTCAAATGAATGACATTTCATAGAGATCCAGTTCAAACGGACAAACCATTTTCACTTTATATCAACCGCAGTCAAAGAAATATAGCATGATCATGCTCCATTAGTTAAAAATCTCCAAATGATGTTATATAATCGGTATTAAGAGAGAGAGAGAGAGTAAGAGAGAGAGACCGAAATATTGGTGCTTTCTGAAAGCTTTGAAGCTGTCTCGAAATATGACATCCGCAGCATGTAGTCCACAAGAATCCGTTTCAATTTTGTATTGTTCCATTCAGTAATATTTTTCACATCTGCTGAATCCAAATGATCGATGCGAGCACGACATCTCTGGGCCTGCAAATTCTCCACATTGCTCCCTTCTTCCAACTGAATGACAAGAAAAATAAGCATCCTAGAGAACAAGAAACAAACAACCCCAAAGAAAGAAAATTTGGAAGAAGATGCAAATTCTCTGAGTTCCTAAACTCCAAAATTAAATTCCCTCTCTTTTAAGTCCTTTAATCCAAGAAATAACAATCTTATATTAGCTCGGCGACTTAAGTACATGAGGTTTCATCAAATGGGAAGTTCACATGTAGGGATCAATTTCAGTACATTGCATGCCCTCGATCTGAAGTATATCCAATCGAATTCAACAATCATCAAGATCATAAGAGGCAAAGAACAATGTTATCTTCTTGGTATATCAAACTCGAAAAGAGAAATAATATACAAGATCAAACGAGATCCAAGGTTTAGTGGTAATCGTTCAACTATCGTGTTCGTAATCCAGATATGTGGATCATTTAACAAAACCGGAAAGATTGTTTACTATTTAATTAGGCCAACCAAACAGATGCAGTTTCTTCTATGTAATTTACAACACCGATCAAAGAGAAGAAAAAAGATCAAAACCTTTCTTTTGAGGCCTTGCAATCGAGATACAAGGCTAGTAAGACGAGAAACGGTGACGTCTTTGGACCAATCGTTATCAGCCAAATCTCCGACGGTGGAAACAACGGAGGAGACCTCCTTCTCGAAGCATCGGTGATTGGCACGGATCGTCTTCCTGTAATGTTCGAATGGTACACGGAGGAGCTGGTGCTCAAGCTTAAGCGATTCCGTCAATTGGCTCAACCTCGACGACGGGACGGGCGGCGACGGAGTGATCGTAGGAGCGGATTCCGTCATCACGGCGTCAGCGTTTCCGTTGGTTACTGGATCGATTTCCATGGCGATGAAATGGGGAAAGGAAGTTGAAGAAGAAACTACACAAAAGAAACTGTTTAGATTTTTGCCTTTCTGTGGTGAGAAAATCAGAGAGGAAATAATACTACTCGGTGAAATATAAAACGACGTCGTAGTATTATTACCGAAATTAATACTCTGTTATTAAAACGATACCGTTTGGAATATGAACCAGATATGGCATGACAATGGAGCCGGTTTGGTTTTGTGGGAATTTCAACCGAATGTTCATGAAAACCGCAAACTCTCCGGACAGATCCTGATAGTTATTTCATTACTTCTATGGATTATGATTGATTACGGATTGTCAGAAATTTTCCTGATATGTTATATTTATTTAAGCATGTCTTGTTATTGGACACTGTTCTTTCATTTTCATGGTTAATGGTAGGTTTAGTATGTTCAAGCTCAACTAGATTTAGGAAGTCTTACCAAAGCTACATAATATGAACTATGTTTATATAGATTTTTTCAATATTGTTTGATTAGAATCACGCATGATATTTAACAGAAAATCAGCAGTGCTTTTCAACACCTTGATAAACTTTCATCGACTAAATTTTCAAAAGTATAGGAACAAATATTGTCAAGGCTCAATAACCCACAAGATTTTGAACACATACCAGAGATTCAAATTAACCAAACTAGCTTAACTTGATTGATATAAATCACCATGAAGATGAATAGGTGACACTGACCGGTAAAAAATATTCTTAGGATTTGATAATACGTACCGATGGTCTTCTCATAGCTCAAATTCTTATATATGTATATATAAATTCATGATAGTGGGTATCTATTTTTCTATCATGATAGCGATTTAACACATTATGTGCGGCCTCATTTGTTGATAAATGATAATACCACGGGGAAGAATAAACTATATAGTTTTGTATACATATAGTTTATCTTTGATGTCATATCTTTATTTTGAAATAACACATTACCTCTTTTGAATGTCATTTAGTTTATGTCAAAGACCTGTAAAAATATTTTACTGTATTTGTTTAAATGGTAACTTTTACTATGTTTAGTTGTTTTAAAGATTATCAACCACAAAAATAATACAAATTATCATTTATATAACGTTTTATCATTTTTTAAAGATTATTAACCGCAAAAATGGTGTAATATCTCTTATCCTTATCTTTTTATCTCAACATCTCTTAACATAGTATTTTGTCATTACCAATTATATCTTTACCTCTTATGGCTTTATGAAATCATTTGTAGATTACTCAAACCTATACATTCTGTTTGAGAAAGAACGAAAAAAAAAGAAACTTGAATACCTTCTATTTAATTAAAATTAAAACAATTAGCCCCGCTCCTCCTCTCCAATGGCTTTATCCGCGCAAGGAAATATTTCAAAAATTACCAGAAATACCCCTCAATTGATACTCTACTTTACATTTCACACCAACAAAAAGTAGGGAGCCGTTTTGTTGTTCTCTTTAGATTCTTCCTCATCAACGGCACTCTCTCCTCTCACTCCTTCGTTAACTTCTAAAGAAATCTCCGTTTTAGATCACATCGACGTTATCTAGCGCTGTTAATAAATCTGCGTTTCAGTTTCTTCTCCGTTCGAAATTCCGGATTATCCATTTTCCGATTCGGAAAATCCCAGTTTATGGTAAGTTCATAAATCCTGAAGATTCTCTCTTTTGAATTTTCAAAAACTTGACCGATTCTTTGGTTTTCTTTAATAAAGCAATTTGCATATTGTCGCTTGTCAGTTTTTTCTTTTTCAATTTTTCTGACTAGTAGTAGAAGAGAGTAGATAGTAGAGTTAGGTTTTCACTTGTTGAGGCTTGGCGACAAAATCGAAGAATTTCTTCGATTTTAGATCATTCAGGAGAGAGCTTTTTAGAATTTTACACTGTTCGAATCATCTCGCCGAACATTTCTTCATCAATTTCTGCGCAACTAGGATTCAAGGTTCGTTTCGTGCATTGATTTCTTTACAAATTCGCTCCGTTTATTGGGTATTCCTCGCTCAGTTCCTGTCTCTAGGGTTTCTGGCAGCTTTGTAGATGTTTTTAATTAGGACTTGTTCGATGTTTACTATGATCAAGTCAGAGTTTCTGAATCTCTGAGTTGTACAATATAATTGATCATCTATGCAAATTGCTTGTAAGATTCGGTTGGAACACTCTTTTTTTGCTGGTGCAAAATGTGAATTTTCTCTTAGTCTAGTGCAAAAGATCAGTGTAATTTATAACTTTCCATATACTGATTTGCTTTTTGTATCCCTTGATTCCAGCTGCAATTGTGATAGCATCTCCTTCTGATTGGAGAAACATCAATGAAGAAGCTCTTCTTTTTTAGATCTTCGTCTGGTAATGGAACTGATAAACAGGTTCACTGCGAAAAAGCTGCAGATAGTAAGATGAAAACACAAGCTAGTAATCGGATGGAACAAGAGTTCCATAGTCCCAAGTCACAGGGTCCAGCTCTTAGACGAAGCCTTTCATTGTCCTCGGCAGGATTCCTTTTTGATAAGTTTGGAGAAACTTCCACGAATGACCAAACTACCTCTTCTAAAAGCCAGGATAGGCAGCGGAATCATTCATCTCGGTATGTTTTTAATTACCAATTCTCATTGTTTTGGTGATGTTTGTAATATATTTTTGCTTTCATCTAACTAACGAACAATGTATTGAAAACTATGTGCCAGATGCTTTACTCCAGAAAGACAAGTTAGAGAGAGGCAGTTTGAAGCAGACAAGTTTCAACATGATTCATCTGGGAGTTCGTCAACTTGTTCTAGTAATGTCTCTAGTAAAGTTCTGGACCGTTATATCGATGGAGAAGAGCATTTAGAACAGTGCAAGCAAAAGAGTAGTTCTTCACACAGCGATGTCTCTGGCAGCATAACCCGAAGGAGGCTTCCACCCCGCGTCCAGTGGACAGTCCCCACATCACCATCAGACACTTTAAATGACAAACGAAAGTCCCACTCGTTTAGAGAAGCTAAAGGAACCCGCTTTCGTTCCTCTTCTACTGATTTTGTGGAAAATGGATCGAGGCTTGGATCGCCTCGTTCGCTTGCAAGAAATGTCATTGAAAGACTCTCTCAGACTCATGGCAAGTCAAAGGGGTCAAATCATGAACCCATCACTATTCAAGATGTCTACGGTGGGTCCCTTGATAGAACTTTTGACTCGAGCTCAGATGTCGCAGCCAATGTTTCACTGGCTGAACAGTATGAACCTATGAACGAATATTATGCGCATGGCTATGGAAAGCACCATCAAAATCATATACATGGTAAGAACATGTATAGGTGTATGGAAGAGGATATTGACTCAGAGCTGGAAATGAAAATTAATGAAGCTGAGAAGAGAGTGATATTGTTTTCTGAAGAATTGGAGCAGCAGAGGTGCCTTTCAGACTGTGACTTTGATGTTTCATCTTTGGTTGGGGCGATTAGAAAACTCGAAGATGAGAGGCTCAACTTGGCATCTGAGAATGTAAATCTTTTGCGCTCCCAATTGGTTGAGAGGGCTGCTGCCAGGGAAGAAATGAGACGGGTGAAGTCAGATTGGGACTTGCATATACAGAGAATAGAAAAGGAGAGGAGCGAGTTGCAGGCTGGATTGGAGAAAGAGCTTGATAGAAGGTCAGGTGAGTGGACTTCAAAGCTCGAAAAATTCCAGCTTGAAGAGAGGAAGCTGCGAGAGCGTGTCAGAGAGCTTGCTGAGCAAAATGTCTCACTCCAGAGAGAACTATCGGCTTTCCACGAAAATGAGACAGAGAACAAAGACATGATAACACATTTGGAGAGAAGAGCTGCAGAGCTGACCACGACAGCAGATGAATTGCATGAAGAGAACTCTTATCTTAAGCAAACTCTCTCCCAGTTACAAGAGAGTTACGCAGGTGCTACAGAAGATATTGAATTTTTAAGAAGAAACTTCGAAGAGAAGGATCAAGAATGCAAGGAGTTGCACAAATCAGTTGCTAAGTTTCTGAGAACCTGCACAGAACAAGGGAAGACAATCGAGGGTCTTCGAGATGGGGTCTCCGAGGAGAGTAAAAAGCAACCGTCAGAGAAATTGGACCAGTTGGTCAAGAAATTGCAGGTGGAGCAACTAAGGTTGACAGGGATCGAGCTTTCACTTAGAAGGGAAATGGAATCAATGAAGCTCGAAACTGACTCTCTTCGCCATGAGAATATCTGTCTGTTGAATCGATTGAAAGGAAATGGCGAAGAAATAGACATTACAAGTCTTAAGCTAGAGAATGAGTTGAAGATGCGTATCTGCTACCTGCAAGACCAAGGACTGTCAATGTTAAATGAGAGCAACCAGCTTTGTTACAAGTTACTGAAGTTCATTAAAGGGAAATTAACTCAGTTTCCGGAAATCTGTCAAGACACGGATTCAATGAAGGACGGATTGAGTGAGCAGTTTATCATTGAATCTGAAATGAAAGTCCATGGAATAAGGCGTGGAACTGAAAACCTGAAGAGGAGTTTGCACACGGTAACCAGTGTAGTGGCTTCAAATTCAGAACCATCTTGCTCAAGTACTGGTAGGCCAAAGGAGCAAAGAAAACAATCAGTTGAAGTGAGTTTTTAAATATATGTTCAGTTCTTATTTTCTCTACTACACTTCTCATTTATGTCTTCCCTTGGTTTACAGTATGCGTAGCTAACGTTTTAGCGCCATCTCATTTAGGAAACTATGCGAGCCGAACTGAGAGCTGAGACCCTAGTCACAAGTTTATTACGGGAGAAACTGTATTCCAAGGAACAAGAAATTGAACAGCTGCAAGCAGAACTAGCAGCAGCAGTACGAGGCAATGAGATTCTGAGATGTGAGGTCCAAAGCACTTTAGACAACCTATCAGTGAAGACCCATGAATTAAAAGACCTTAAGCTCCAGGTATAATAATAACCCACTCCCATGTCTGTTTTTGTGGCTCCTGGAATATATTCGGAGCTATGTAAATAACTTCACGTTGATCGTTTTGACATCAGATGTTGAAGAAGGATGAAAACATAAACCGGCTTGAAATAAATCTCCAGGAAGCTGCGAAAGACATAGGGAGCTTGAAAACAGTATTACCAAAGATGTCTGATGAAAGAGAGCAGATATGGAGAGAGTTGAGACAATGCTGTGAGAAAAACATGCTCTTGAACTCAGAGAATGAGACGTTGAAAGGGATGATGGAGAAATTGGAGGAGAAGGTGTTAGAGAAAGAAGGAGAGATCACAATACTACAAGACACAATCGGAAGCAAGCATCTCAACATCCTCGCAAGTCCTGATTTCTTGGTATAATAAGTCTTCTCTGTTCATACTTTTCAGAGTTGTCCAGAATTTGGTTTCTTTCACACCTTTTTACATCGTTTTCGATGATGGGTGGTTATTCTTTGGGACTTATAGATATGATTTTATATTCTTTTTTTTTTCTTTTTGGATTTTTATGAAATGGAAAGTTTGTCAAATTTACCCAACAAATTCATGATAAGTCATATTTTTCAATAATTTTTTTTGTTGAACCCAATATGTTAATTCCGTACATATCTACTTGCCAATCAATATGATGAAATGACAATTGTAAAATAGTACTTAAGAACATCTGCAATGGTTCTTCGAATTCCAATTTTTCCTTCATTTTGACTTTTGAAGATGAAAATGAAGAAATTTTCTTCAATTTTATTTTCAAATTGAAGTAATGAATAGTGTTACTATAAAAAATAGTGAGCCACTATAAATGGTGGAAATCTCCTATTCGAGCAACTAACCAATTCTTCTTCTTGATTCTTACGTCTTCTTCACATACTTACCGGTGGAAGTTTCCTATTTGGACAAATTGGTGATTATCGTCACAAGCAACAACAATAACAAACAATGACATCAATCAGTCAAATCTTTTGGTTTTGTCTTTTCCTAGTGGAACACACAGAGTTAAAACCGTTCTCATTCCTAAACTTTACTCTCTCAATTCTATTAAAGATATTGCAAGAAACAAAACAAAACAAAAACGCAAAATTGAGTCAAACGAATTGGTGGTGGTTATGAGCTCTATCACTGTGGATGGAAGGAAGGAGAGGGATAAACACAAAAGAAGATCAGAGATTTCACCATGTTCATAAGGACAAATCCGTCATTCCATCAGCAAGAACAGTAGACGATCACCATAACATTCAAAGACAAGGGTGACAAAGGAGGAGGCTGTGGTGGGGATGACAGGACTCGTTAGCCATCAGAAACATATAAGACAAGACAAGGATGTGATTATTGGGCCATTGGCTTATGTTTTGTGTTTGTTGTGATGTGCCTCTTAACTCTTAAGTATGTGCTCTCCAAGCCTCTTGAACTCTTTGATTTAGTTTTTAGTAATAGGATTGGACCAAAAAAAAAAAAGATTCTAATAACTATTTACTATTCATGAGTGACAAATTGGATAAGAGTAGTGACCAGATTGTAGAGAATAATATTTCAAAAGTAAAGAAGTATTAAATGTTGAGAAAATAAAAAGTGTGGTACTAATAGAAAATTAAAGGTCAAACCTTTAAAAAGTCAAAAACAAATGGCGAGCGAGACAGGCATAAATTAAAGAAAGTATACGAAAGCAAACAAAAAGAAAAAAAAAAATAAAAAAACAACATAGACACGACGGCCGCAACTGTGTCGCTTATTTTTCTCTCTCTCTCTCTCTAAAAGTCTAAAACCAAATCCAACGTCTCCGTCTCTTCTTCAAACGCGTCTTCTTCTCCTTTATATTTCTCCTCTCTTCGCCTTTTTTTAGTTTCTTTTTCTTTTTATTTGTATTACGAATCTTGCGATTCTTTTCTTCTCTTGCCTCATTGATCTCAATCGAATGATGGATTATTATTCTACGCCAAGTTTTTGAAAATCAAAAGGAACCCTATTCTTTCCATCTATCCTCGATTTTCATCAGGTATTGAATCTCTTCTTCTTTGATTTTTGTTCCATAAACAGATACTCGTTGATCAGATTCATGGGTTATTGTTGAAATCTACTGTAGATTCCTATTGTTGGATGATTTCATTTTATGTTGGGAAAGTTTGGGACTTTATCTTCTTATTCGTATCCTAGATTACTAATTTTTTTCTGTTTTTTTTTAATGGAATGCAGATTAATGTTGTTTGTATTTGTGAATGCGTGTTTGAATTCTGAATCCTGGGTTTCTGGAGTTGGAACTGACGAGAAGATTGGGTCTCATAATATAGTTATAAGCACCGATTTGATGAACGATTTGATAGCTGGTTCTTTTGGTTAGAGAGTGTGATTTTTAAAGCTTAACATGTGAATTATGGTATCTACAACATTTAGGAGAATTGTATATCCTTGTTGGAGGCCTTTTGGCATTGGTGAAGGTTCGATTCCAGGTAGTGATGATACTAATGGCCGCCTCGATGGTCTCTTGTGGTACAAAGATTCCGGTAACCACATCACCGGAGAGTTTTCAATGGCAGTGGTTCAAGCAAACGCTATTCTTGAAGACCATAGTCAATTAGAATCTGGTCCTATTAGCTTGCATGATTCAGGACCCGAAGCTACTTTTGTTGGTGTTTATGATGGTCATGGAGGTCCTGAGGCAGCTCGGTTTGTAAACGAAAGACTCTTTTATCATATGAGGAGGTGCACATCAGAGCAAAGAGGGGTTTCTCCTGATGTGATCACGAGAGCTTTTGTTGCAACGGAGGAGGAATTTCTCGGTGTAGTGCAGGAGCAATGGAAGGACAAGCCACAGATTGCTTCTGTGGGAGCTTGTTGCTTGGTTGGTGTAATCTGTAACGGATTGTTGTATGTTGCAAACGCAGGAGATTCTCGTGTTGTGTTAGGAAGACTGGATAATCCGTTTAAAGAGTTGAAAGCTGTTCAACTATCGTCAGAGCATAACGCAAGTATCGAATCCGTGAGAGATGAGTTGCGTTTGTTGCATCCTAATGATCCGAACATTGTGGTCTTGAAACACAAGGTTTGGCGTGTGAAAGGGATTATACAGGTTTCGAGATCCATTGGTGACGCATACCTAAAGAGAGCAGAGTTTAACGAAGAACCGTTGTTGCCTAAGTTTAGAGTTGCAGAACGTTTTGAGAAGCCAATTATGAGAGCTGAGCCAACGATAACAGTTCATAAGATTCACCCGGAAGATCAGTTTCTTATATTTGCCTCTGATGGTTTATGGGAGCATCTAAGCAACCAAGAAGCAGTTGATATCGTCAATTCTTGTCCACGCAATGTAAGATTCTCACAATCACTCTTCTTGCATCCGTTTTTTCTTCTTTTGTGTTCGGTCTGATCGATCTTGTTGGCATTTTGTGGTGTCTCTTTAGGCTGTGGCTCGGAGGTTAGTGAAAGCTGCATTACAAGTAGCAGCGAAGAAGAGAGAGATGAGATATTCTGATTTGGAGAAGATAGAACGTGGCATCAGGAGACACTTTCACGATGATATTACCGTTATTGTTGTCTTCCTCCACGCTGCAAATTTTGGGATTCGAACTCCGGTCTCTGTCAAAGGAGGTGGTCACCTCTCAGGCAATGCGTTTTTATAGTCTTCTTTTTAATCCTAAAATAAACAAAACAAAAATCTCGTTTTTTTTTTTCGTTTTCCTTTTTTTTTCTGAACTATAATTTGAGTTCTACAGCATTTTGTTTGCTTCTTTCTTTATAAATTTTTTATATATATATATATATCTTTGGTTTGTTCAGAACTCAGATTGTCTGATACTTGTTTAAATTATTTTCTGATCTCAAAATTGTAAATTTTTTCTTCTTTTTTTGTTTCTCCCAAACCATGTTGTGCTTTTAGCTATACGAAAAGAGAAAGTGAAAATAAAATTATAAAATTAAAAAAAAAAATCTCCAAAAATTGGTGAAATGTGGAAAATAATGTAAAACTTGTGGAAGTTAAGTAAACGTTCTCTCATTTGGAGAAGTGAAAACCACTTTCCGGGAAAATCCTAATCGGAGCTGAGAAAACCAAACGGAAGAAAACGCTGAGTGATGATGATGAGTGTCGGAGTGAAAGCTAGCGTGTGCTCTCCTTATTCATCGCTTTCGATATCCTCGAGGGATTTTTCTTTCCCTTCCTCGTCATCTCTCTATGTTGGTAGGAAAATTCTCCGACCAAGCTCCGGTGTTTACCTGAACCGGCGGTGTAATTCCAGTGTACTGGCTGTTATAGAGTCAAGGTAATCAGATTATTACCTTCTGAAGAACTTACAAAGAATACAAATTTCGCTTCTATTGAGACTTTCGATGTTTGTGTGCTGCTCTGTCTCTTGTTATTTTGCAGCCGAGTGCCGGAGCTTGATTCTTCTTCTGAACCAATTCAAGTGTTCGATGGAACGACAAGGTTTGGATTTATAGAATGCTTTGATTTCATTTCTTGTGATCAATCTTGTTGATGAAGAGTTTTGGCTTCTGCGATTTGAAGGTTGTACATAGCTTACACTTGCCCATTTGCTCAGCGTGCGTGGATTGCTCGAAATTACAAGGTTGCATTTGATTATAATTGTATGCTGATTTTATGTAGATATGGAACTAGTTTGATCTAGATCAATCTTGTTGTTGTTGTGCAGGGTCTACAAGACAAGATAGAACTCGTACCGATTGATCTCAAGAACAGGCCTGCTTGGTACAAGGAGAAAGTTTACCCGGCTAACAAGGTCAACTTTTTATTTTAAGCATCTGTGAAAGGATTGAGCTTTAGCAAAACTCCATAGGAGCTATAGAGTTTTCTTCTCTGTTTTATGCAGGTGCCTGCATTAGAGCATAATAACCGAGTGATAGGAGAGAGCCTTGACCTGATTAAGTACATTGACACCAATTTCGAAGGGCCTTCACTTACACCTGATGTGAGTAATGATGAGTTGTTTGTTTTCTTTGAATTCGATTTTATAAATTAAGTGCAACATATATACTTAGAAGAGGTAACATACATGGAACAACGATAGGGTGTAGAGAAGCAAGCAGTCGCTGAGGAGTTACTCTCCTACACCGACTCCTTCTCCAAGGCCGTTAGATCCACATTTAATGGCGCCTATAATGATGCAGCAGGTGATTGTTAGAAGATGAAGATACGTCTTCCTTTTGTGTTTTGCGGATACATTCTTTTCCTTGTGTTTGAATCTTTGTCTTCCATTTCTTCAGATGGTGCATTCGATTACATCGAGCAGGCTCTTTCCAAGTTCAAAGACGGACCTTTCTTCCTTGGCCAATTTAGTTTGGTATTGTCGATTTATCTTCATCAGTTTCTTTAAGCCTTATCCGCTCTTGATTCTGAGTCTAAAATGGGGAATTTTTTTTATAATATACAGGTTGATGTTGCGTATGCTCCATTCATAGGTACATTTCAGATCATCTTAAAGGATGTAATGAACGTGGATATCACATCTAGCCGCCCTAACCTAGCCCTTTGGTTTCAGGTTACACTATTTCTTCGACTTTTGTTATCTTTCAACTAAAGACCAAATCTTTCCCATCTAAGTTTTAGTTCTTCGCCTTCTTGTGCAGGAAATGAACAAGATTGAAGCTTACACAGAAACCCGTCGAGATCCACAAGTTATAGTTGAAAGATACAAGAAACTAATCCAAGCAGAAGGACGTCTCTAAGCAGATAGTTCTCCGGCGTTTCTCCATTTGGTCATATAAGAGAAGATATTGTAACCAAGATTTGTTTTATATATAATTTATATATTGTCTCGGGAAAGGATTAAAATAAAAGCATCTACATGACAGGCAACAACTGTTTTCATCTATCTCAGTGTTCATGAGACCAAGCAAGTCTCTAACTAGAATGAAAATGCACCTGCCGCTTTTCCTTCATTGTCCATCAGATCGTGCTTGTAGCTTCAATAAAACTCAGTGTGAGGCAAGGAGCAACGTGATTCAGAAGAGATATTATACAAAGTCAAACCAAGCCCAGTGCCCAAAGTTGAAAACAGAACTAAAGCATCATAAGAGTCTTATAGTGCTTGCCCAGCTAATTTCATTTTGTATCCAGAGAGAGAAATTAGTCAGCTTTCTTCAAGAAGAAGAGAGGTAGACGTCGCTGAACAAGTCTTCCATTCTATGTGTATATACTGAATGCAAAAAGCTCGAAAAGAAAGTTTCGCTACTTCTTCTTTAGCAGTACTCTCCATATCTTCCTCATATAAACAACTAAAGACCATACAGAGAGCCCTGCAGATACATAGAGTAACACAATGCCCGACGGTAATAGTCTCTCAAAACTGCTATCCCGGCTTGCAAGAAGTATGGTTAGGGCTATCATCTGCGTTGCAGTCTTCCACTTTCCCAAGCTATTTACAGCAACAGCCTAAGAACATCATCATTTCCAGCTATATGAATTAGTAGGAACAGTAACAAACAAAAAGTATTCGAGTATGCTTATGATGGTGACGATAACTTTACCTCTGAAAGCTTGCCGTTTTGAGATGCAGCCCATTCTCTTACTGCTGACATAGTAATCTACAGTGAAAAGTATTACCAAATAGTTTGGAACCGAGAGTCAATAAGTGGCTAAATGCTTAATGATTATCTACGAGTAAGTCAACTTTCTATAACTTACCTCTCTACCAATTATGGCAATTGAAGGTACTGTCACTAACCATGGAACTGGTCCTAAGATAATGGCGTCCATTGGTTTAGTGCACAACAAGATTAATGTAGCTGCTACCATAAGCTGCACACCCACGACATCAATTTAGAAAGGTATATATTTCATTTTTACTTGATACGGCTTGAAATGAGAAAGAAGAATAACAAAACGGATTGCAAAGGAAGAGAGCCTTTCACCTTATCTGCCACTGGGTCCAAAAATGCACCAAACGCAGAACCTAATCTCATCTGAAATGCACATCTCACCGTTAAGCTTCCAGTTTCGAGAGTGGTAAGAAGAATCCAGAGAAACTTAAGATATGCAGAAGCTCAAGGGAGGGTGCAAAATGAAGTACCTTTCGAGCAATATATCCATCAAGCCAGTCTGTAATGGCTGCTGCAATGAAAATACTTGTTGTTGCAGTTTTCCCCCACCAGCAATCAACGTAAAAGGCTACATTCAAACACAAAGAGATGAACATAATCGCAAATGGGATACAATCAAAATGAGTAATACATCATCAGAAGATCCAATTCAGATTATTGATCAAACATGTACGAAAGCTTAAAAATTTCTGGGTAATGGTAAAACGTGAGGTGCTCATAGCTATAAGGTCAATTCAAAAAGAGTTCTCTTTAGATCCTCCACAAACAGGAGAACGAGAGAATCTGTATCCCAATGTCAAATTCAACCAATTCTGATCTGAAAAACGGATTCTACAGAGCCAGAAATATCACAATTGCCTCCTCGTTTAGATCTGATCATGGACAATGACTCCACCATAATTCAGAGTCGAACCCCAAAAAAAAAAAAAACATTTTCGGGAACAAAAATCAAACGTACTCGCGACGAGAATCGGAACGGCAGCTACACGGCCAAGGGTTAATACGGTAGGCAATGTAATCACTTTAGAAGATAGATGTTGAGGTGGCGTCAATGGCGACGAATGGCGATGACGGAGCAAAGAATCTTCGCCACCACCGAATCTGTCCTGATCCACCGCCACGGCGTCTTCTTCACCCATATCCGCCACAAGACCTGATCTGCAAACTCGACGATCCGCCTTTCTCCGACGAAGAGGAAGAGAAGCAACGTAAAGGGCGGTGGCGACACCTCCCCAGAATCCGGAACCCTAAGCCTTTATGGAACGCACAACGGCCAATAATGATGCAGCTTGGAGAGATGCTAACGTGCGCCAACGAGGGAATTAGCGAGCGGGGGACGTAACGTGCGCCGTAGATTGACGTCGACTGACGATTGTTATTGAAGCAAAATATGGTACTTTTTGGCCTTATTATTATGCAGTGGAGCAATTTGGGCCTTGTTTAATTAATTCTATTACCTTATTTAAATCTGTAATTTGATTTTGGTAATTAGACAAAAGTATTTGTATGGGTGTAAATTAAAGTAGATTAAGCTGTGTATTTTTTTTTACAAGTGTTAGAGTTTTTATTGGTTATACGAATAGTTATGTTTTATCGACCGACACACAAGTTAGCTGATTGGATCTTCTTTATTTGTAATATAAATTGAACAATAATTTAGATTTTATAAGATATATACAGTATATATATTAAGTAAACGATGAATATGATGGACAAGTTTGGACTGTTTATACTACTTTGGTCACTGCAACAAATTTTAGAAATATTCAAACTTGGTAGTTAAGCTGAGATATACAAATTATTGCTATCTTTTGGTTATAAAATGTTACGTTAATTAACGCCAAAAAAAAAAATTAGTAATTTGGTTATACTGCATTGCATGAAGTTCCTCGCCACGCTGTCTACAAAATTTTGATCACAATCACAACTGCCATAGCTGTTGATATTCCGCATGTCGATTGTTAGAGAAAATAACGATGAACCTAAATTCAATCCTTGTCCATTTTTAGGGTCTAGTTAATTATTTTTTGTGACAATTACTCAAATTTCTATAGTTCGGACACCTTGAACCATCGAGATAGAAAGCACACATACAAAGTGAGTCTATATGGTGATTACAGATACGAGAATTACCTATTAACAGATGATACATATATGATCTGAACTTCAAGTCCGAATTTTATTCCAAACCACTTTTTAAAAATTTGAAAGATCAACGACCGATGAATCAGCGCCTGTGAATGCCAAAATTGAAAACATCTTTTGACAAATAAAGATTTCCTTATGTGTACTTTTTACAGAAAAAATACTATAATCGATTGCTACTTTCAATCCATTCCTATAAAGTGTGTAAACTTATCTTTAAACTTAAGTTTGACTGGAAAAGAAAACAAAAAGAGAAAGAGTGTGAGCTTAAGAATATCTAAATCCTAACTCCATACAACTTGTATGAGCATTTTCTAACACAATAGTTATCAAAGCTAAATCTGAAAGGTCTAATTGATATTAAAATGTCAAAATACGAAATATAATAGAGTTGTCTGTGATATAAATTTCTCATTTGATTAAACGTAACATGTGAAGCGCATTTGCATTGCTTAAATGATTATATACAAAAATCTAAGACAAGCTTTTTATTTTGTTGTTGCCAGATTTAGTTCCATATAAAAGTCCTTTACCAACTCCTAAAGCAATTATCCTTTACCGACAAGTCGACAACCATTGCAATCCCCACAATTATTAACTTGCATTATTTTTAGATTTCATAAAAATCACCTGAAATATGAATACCTACAAATCGAAGTTTTTCTTGAACGTAATAATGTTCTTTAGTTTTTGATGTTGCAGCATGTAAATAGAGTTATATCATTCCATTACTCGTCTCGCTATAATTTTTTCTTGTTTTAATCAATAAAAATATTAATAGTAGAAAGAGATGAAATGAAAAATACTGTCAAACGCAAAACCATTTGACCTCAATCATCACCGTTTTATAACACTAAAAAGTTCAAACCCGAATTTATCTTTCTTAATGTGGCATTCGATTGTAGAGTATATAAAATAATTATTTAGTTTTAAAAGTTGCAATTGCTACACTAATCGTATACACTATAACCACAAAAAATTTTTTTGTAAACCCCAACAACTACAATTGCACCTACCGGGTTTAAGCGAAAATTACATATTACAGATTTGCAAATGTCGTAAGTGTATTTATTTAACTATTAATAAATTTTACTTGCTAGTTAACTATTCATAACATTTTTTTGTCTTTATTTTTAACATTTGATTGTAATTGACTAACTTAAAACAATTAAGAAAGTGAATTGTTGATATTTATTGGAATCATTTTTTATAATAATTTTCATAAATACTTTTCTTTTATGTAATGCTTTTTTAGTTATTTTTTTTTGTTTTTTATGAATAAAATAACTAACTCAATTAAATAAATTCATATTTTAAGATAACAGGTGTTCTAAACAATGACATATAAGCGTAAATTTGATTTTTGCTAGACATTTTTGACAAATTTCTATGAAATATTGGAAGACAACTATGAAATCACATTCTACATCCAAAATAAGGAAGTAGTTAAAAAGTAAGAATCAAAAAGTTAAAAAGAAACTTTTTTTTTTTTTTAATGAGAGAAAGAAAAAGAAGACGTTTTGGACTGTGTGTCAAGGAATCGACGCAGTCAAATTTCACATGTAATAACCTCGTCGACAATCTCGCCCTTTCCATGTGATTTCCCCACTCCTTCTCTCTCTTCTCTCTCTGCTCTCTCTCTCTCTCTACTGCAACTTCCTCTTCCTCCTCCTCCTTAACTTCAGTCGCGGTATTATGATCAACTAGCTTGGATCTTCTTTTCTTCTCTTCAGGTTCCAACTCTCACCGGACTAGATCTCTTCTTCCCGGTTACTAATGAGGATCGCCGCCGCCTCTTCCAAGCCTCCCAATCCTCTCGTCGCCTTCGAGCACAAGAGGTTTCGCGTTTCCTTCCCCTTCTTCTCTACATTTCTCACATTCTCTTCCTGTTTTATGAACTTGCGCGCTCTCTCTCTCTCTCTCTTTAGCTTTCGTGAGCGAAATATTGTATCTCCGATTACGAGAGCTTAACTGTTCTTAATCTGACTTATCGTTTGCTTGATTTGCATTTTATCAACAATTCGTCCCGATTCTGATGTTCGTTGATCTTGATTTCAAGTACAATCCTAGTGATTCGAATGCGATTTTTTTTTGTGGCATTTGCTCCCAATGTGGCATAATTATCAGTCGAGGCGGTCTTTGATAGCCAATTCGAATGTTCTTAGAGAAATACAAGGAGCTGGGCTTTAACTAAATTTTCATGTGCTGTTCAATTGCTTGACAATTTTGTATCAACGGGTATACATTTCTAGGAAACATGGGGATTTCGTCTGAGTTATAGATGGGATTTTATTTCTCAGTATTATTTTGGGAACTCATATGGCTATTTTTTTTTTACAGGGATTCATATGGATTTCCTGTGAGACCTCAACATGTGCAGAGATACAGAGAATATGCTGATATTTACAAGGTTCTATCTCCATATCTCCTATTTTCTACTCGGGATTTTCATCCACATGAATTGTTGGAACAGTTTGTTTTCACCGTGGTAGTGAGAATGACGATTCCATTTAGAATGACACACCTTAGCTACCAAATGCTTGTAATAAGTTCTTTTTGGTTCTTGGAATGGTCGAAGTGGTTCCTATAATTATTTTCCTAAACAAGCCCCCTAAACTTGTAATGTCACTCTTTGCTTACAAGCAGGAAGAAGAAGAGGAAAGGTCGGACAGGTGGAGCAATTTCTTGGAAGATCATGCAGAATCGACTGAGTCGCCTGCAAACGGATCATCTGATAATAGTCATGCACTGTCTGGTGAAAGTGAGGTTTTAAAAGAAGATCTGCATAAGGATAAGTTGGGTTCTGTTCCCGATAATGCAAGTGAAGAAGAAGGACGCCCCGATTCAGAGAAGACTCTTCACAGAGTGCAATTATGGACTGAGGTCAGACCATCTCTTCGATCAATTGAAGAATTGATGAGTATCCGTGTCAAGAAGAAGGGGGATTTATCAAAAGGCGAGCAAGAGGCTCCAAAGGTGAAATCCTCACCCTCATTTGATGATGCCAAATCTTCCAAGGGAGCATCTGAGAATGATTCTGAAGACGAGTTCTATGATGTTGAGAGGTCGGATGTTCACGATGGTTCTTCTTCAGATGGTACAAGTGTATCTGGCATCCCTGTTGCCGGTGATGCAACTTTTCCAATGTCTACATGTCCCTGGAAGGAAGAACTTGAAGTGCTTATTCGAGGTGGTGTTCCTATGGCTCTGAGGGGGGAGGTAAAGATTCTTCTCATGCCTACAGTGCTACCTTGTCTTTCTATTTTATATCATGCTCTAGCTTTTCCATCTATAGTTCGATATCCTTATCTCTTTTACTTCTATCAACAACATTTCAGCTATGGCAAGCATTTGTGGGTGTGAGGAAACGACGCAGCAAAGATTATTACCAAAACCTTCTTGCTGCTGATAGTTGTGGAAACAGCATAGATCAGGAGGATACGCAGCATGTTGATGATAAAGGCTCGAATGCAGAAGCCCTTGCTGCCGTAGAAAAATGGAAAGGACAGATAGAAAAGGTGGTACTCTAAAATTTATTCAGCATTGACCCTCACTATCTAGTGGTGCAGTGTTGGATTATGCTGAAATTGATCAGAGTTCTTACGCCGTTGCTTATATCAAGTACAGGACTTGCCTCGGACATTTCCAGGTCATCCTGCCCTGGATGATGATGGTAGAAATGCTCTCCGGCGTTTGCTTACTGCTTATGCTAGGCATAATCCTTCTGTTGGGTACTGTCAGGTATTTGTTCTTAACCAATATCAATTGGTTCTTAACCAATATCATAATTCTTTTTTTTAGTACCGAGACATGGTAAATTAAGATTAATATCTTGTCTATATATACCATCTGCAGGCTATGAATTTCTTTGCTGCGCTTTTATTGCTTTTGATGCCCGAAGAGAATGCCTTTTGGTATGTTCCCAAACTAGATGAATCTATCATCTCCAAGTCCTAATATTGTTTTTCCGTGAATATCGAACTCCTTGGCTCTGTGTTTAGTTTTTATATCTATCACTTTCATTTTCTTCTGGTTGAATTAACTGTTGTTAGGCTTCCTTATTTCTCCTCTTTTATCTAAACCGACGTCCTTGCTAACTAAATTCTTATGATTTTTAGGGCACTGACAGGAATCATTGATGATTACTTCAATGGTTATTATTCAGAAGAAATGATTGAGTCCCA